CCCCAGTATAGCTTTGCACAGAGGGAGGTTTGGTGTCTCGTTGGAGAACCCTGAGCAGGTTCTTCAGGGAATCAAGGTTTTTTTCCTGGCCCGATCACAGTCCAGCCCTGATATAGAAAAAGCTGGCCAAGATCGCCATGGCCAGCACCGAGTAGCTGACTTTCACGCTGGTGGCCCCACTGATGTTGCACAAGGAAGAACTGCAGCAGGAAACAGAGGCGGCTGCTATCCCTATGTTTATCCCACTGTTGGGGCAAACTGAAGCACACCCCTTGGAGATGCTCTGCCCGGAATGTCCACCTGAACCAGAAAAACAAACAAGAGAAAGAGACTCAAGATTAAAATGTTGCCCAGAGTTCGGACAGGAGCTCCTGAGCTCTGCAAAGGAGATAATTGTACCGATGTAGCTAAGCAATCCTGAGAGGAGGAGGCCATTTCTCAGCAGTTAATAGCCACACAGCCTTAGCTCTGCCAGTGAATGCCCAGCCATTAGAAGTCACTACTGCCGTTATATACCATGAAAACAGCACTAGTCTCTTCCTAGCAGCTACAGACCCGTATGTAACCATTTGGGAACATCCTCTTCAGATTCCTGGCCAGGATGTGGGAACAGCCAAAGAGAACCCTGGGAATCTATTCCAGATTGTCACACTCTGCCCACTGCATGCTGGGACAGGGCTTTGGGAGTTCAGGGAGGGCTGCGGGGATGCAGCACAGAGGGGACTGGGTCCTGTCTCCTGCTGTTGAGCCTCAGAGCTTTAACGAGCTCGTAGTAGTCAGGTCACAGCACAGCTCATTAAGCAGCAGACACCAATATACCCCCAAAAGGCTTCAACCCGGCCTCCTTTTGTGCAGGCACAACCAGCCAGGCACTGGGATTGGAACGTGTGAATTCTCTCACTTGCACATGCCAATAGTGGAACCTTGCACCAGCACGTGAGATGTTTGGTACTTAAACCATTGTATGGCTGGGGAGTGGCTGCAGGACTGGGCTATAAAGAGCCTCCTTTCAGGACTTCAGCTAATACTGGAGGGGTAGATATAGAGCCCTTGCATTGGTGTACAGGAAGCCTGACATTGCCTGCACCGCCCTCCTATCAGTCATTCACTCATGTGCAAACCTCACTAATGAGCACAGGGGCTCCCGTCCGCTTAACGCATCCCAGAAAAGTTCTCCTGCCATTCAGTTTCAAGGAGTGATTCCCCAATTCCACATCAGCAATGTCCCACCCTTCCAGTAGAAGGAGGAAGGAAAACCCAGTGATCTGGAGCTGGGGCAGGATGTCATCTGGGAAAGTGCTATGGAAAGACAATAGGCAGAACATGCCCAAACTTACCAATTCCTGCACCAAGATACGTGGTCACACAGTAGTTTTCATCACTTTGACATGTAGTTGATCCCAGACACTCCCAGTTGGAGGATGCATCCTTACAGGTGAAGCACAGCAGTGAGTGAGCTGCAAAAGGAAAACACACCCCATGTTAGAGGCTTGCAGGAATATGTTATTTGTTCCTGGTTTACAGTGTGCCTTTGTTACCAAGAAGGCTAACGTCATAATGAGCTGTATAGGTAGGAGCATTGCCAGTAGATCAAGGGAAGTGATTATTCCCCTCTATTCGGCACTGGTGAGGCCACACCTGAAGTATTGCGTCCAGTTTTGGTCCCTCCACTACAGAAGGTATGTGGACAAATCGGAGAGAGTTCAGCGGAGAGCAACAAAAATGATTATGGGGCTGGGGCACATGACTTACGAGGAGCGGTTGAGGGAACTAGGCAGAAGAGAAGAGTGAGGGGGGATTTGATAGCAGCCTTCAACTACCTGAAGGGGGGTTCCAAAGAGGATGGATCTAGACTGTTCTCAGTGGTGGCAGATGACAGAACAAGGAGCAATGGTCTCAAGTTGCAGTTGGGGAGGTCTAGGTTGGATATTAGGAAACACTGTTTCACTAGGAGGGTGGTGAAGCACTGGAATGCGTTACCTAGGGAGGTGGTGGAATCTCCTTCCTTAGAGGTTTTTAAGGCCTGGCTTGACAAAGCCCTGGCTGGGATGATTTAGTTGGGGATTGGTCCTGCTTTGAGCAGGGGGTTGGACTAGATGACCTCCTGAGGTCTCTTCCAACCCTAATCTTCTATGATTCTATTAGTCTAATCCCCACCCTGTCACCTGCTGCTAATGAGCATCAAAGTGCACCATATCCTGATGTTCTCAGCCGCTATTTCAGGCTAAATTCTCATTGAAGCCAGTGATAGGTTTCCCTGTGCATCGACTGAGTAAGCACTTCAGGATTGGACCCAAAACACAGAGGAAGAATTTTTCAAAGGCAGAAATGGCAGCTGGGCATCCAACTGCTATTTATGCCTCTGAAAAGTTCCCCCAATGACTTCTGTGACACCAATTTGTAAATAATTTCTCCGCATGTTCCTTTCCACAGCCATAATGTTACAGACAGGGTAATAGGGTTATAAGAGAAAATAAGCATGGACTTCTCAAGAAAACATCATGCCAAACCCACCTCATTTCCTTCTTTGACAACTAGTCTAGTGGATAGGGGGAAGGGAGCAGGTGTGATATAGTTTGATTTTGACACAGTCCTATATGACATTCCCATAAGCAAAGTAAAGGCAGGTGTTCTAAATTAAATTCCTATAAGCGGGTGAACAAATGATTGCAAGACTGTTATCAATGGTTCAGTGTCAAACTGGGAAGGTGATTCCTGTGGGGTCCTGCAGAGGCCAGTACTGGGTCCGGTACTGTCCAATATTTTAATTAATAATTTGGGTAATGGAGTGGAGAGTATGCTTATTACATTTGCAGATGATGCCAAGCCGGGAGGGTTGCAAGCACTTTGGAGGGCAGGATTA